ATTGTGACAGCGGAAAGTGCCTCATGAGCGCTTATAAAAGTCAACGAGGAGAATCCAGCGAAGGGGACTGGGAGCGGATAAAAGCGAAATTGAAATTAATACCATTCTCAAAGCTGGAGATCTCCGGGCATGGCATGAAAGGAAGACAGCTTACAGCACAGGAACTGAAAGAGTTAACAGCGACCCGAAGGAGGAGGGGAAGAAGCCGGAGGCAAGAGAAAAACAGAGGAAGCCTCTCCCGTCACTGAGAGGGGAAAAGTAACCAGCGCGTTAAAGAAGCGGTTCTGAATGTGCCTTGAAGAGACTTTTTAACAGAAATTCAAAGGAACATTACTAATAAATTAACATAGAAAGTAACTGGAATGGAAAAAAGATGTTTGACAACACGCAGAAGAAGCCTTTGTTGATTGGACATTACTAACAGTTTAATCTAACAGTCAATACATCACTCAGCTTTCTCTTTCTCCCACTATATACCCTCCTTATCTTTCTTTTTAAGCGAAACTCCTCCCTTTTTTAGGGGAGTCAATAAAATCTTTATAAAAAAAAAAAAAAAACAGCAAATGGTTCCACTAGCAAAGAGAGCTTCCTGGGCATGCAGAAAAATGCCACACTCAAATACAAGCCCCTGAACTCCAATTGTATTGGGAAATTTACCTATAGTCCTTCTCTTGGGGAGGGGGAGAGGAAGCTGTTTCCTCTTCCTCAACAACAGCACATTGCACAAATTACCACGCAACATCACAAAGCTATGGAATGAGGTTTCCGGGGGCTTCAAGCACTGATTTTCAATTTTCCATTTTGAAGAGAATTTTCATATAGCAATGTTTTTAGCTTATGCGGGGCACACATGAGTAAGCTGCTTCCCTATCCCTCAATTTATGTATACCTCTTGGCTTTCCTCTTGGCTCAAGGTGGCCAAAGGAAATGCCTTTTAAGACTGTCAAACCTAGAACTTGGACTTCGGGAGAGCAACTTGTGCCATCAGGGCCTGATAACAGGTGTTAAATAAACTCTAAACAGTTAAACAAACTTTTCCCCTTAGCATGGTGATTTTGGGATACAGCATAGATGAGGAACCAGTTCAACAGGTCTACATCTTTCAGTTGAGGTGGCGGGCATTCAAGCTATTCTGGACCTCCCTGTCCTGTCCACAGCAATGTTTTTGACTTTCCCCCCCAGTGCCCTACTGTTTCTGGACACCATCTGGACACTGCAGTTTCTTAGGGTAATTATGTTATAATGCACGGGTTTGGTTGATCTGCTATTGCTATTTATTGTTTCATTGTTTTTATTGTTTGCTGATTTTATGTTGTGAGCTGTCCTTGAGCCCATTTTGGGGGGTAGGGTGGGGTATAAATTTAATAAATAAATTTTTTAAAAAACATGATAATGACCCCCTTAATACTGCAAAGCTTCGCATTAGGCCTTCATTAAGCTATGGTATTAAAGTAGCTTATTCCTCTCCTCTCCTTCACACCCAAGAACAGTACTAATAGGGATCTTCAATGTAAGTTTGCGCAGCTGAGTCGTGGAGCTTGACAGGGAAAGCCACCTCTAGAAGTATAAATACTTAGCAATGCAGAGCTACAACGGAAAGCTGTAAATTCACAATGCACCTTGGAGAAAGTTGGTAATCAATTAGAGTGTTGGCGGAAGCAAGGGTGGGGGAAATCTGCCTTACTTGAAATCAGGAAAATGTCAGCTGCAGTTACTTCACCCCACCCACATCAAAAGGAGCCTACTTTTTCTTTATTTCTGGCTCAAACCTGACACAAGGTGAAGTTTCCAGTGTTTCCAATGACTCTGTTATGCTTTGCTGCTGACAGGCTCAGGAGAAATACAAGCATTCTAAATTCTAAAGTAATCCGGTCCAATCATAACAAGTACCAGCGTTTATATATTTTAAAAGGGGTGTTTTCTGGACAGCTGTAGTGGCTTGGGCTTAATGCTAATACCTAGTACTGTGGTTTTCAAACTTTCAACCTTCAATTAACCCTTCTCATGCAAATTTGGCTGCCGAGAAAGCCCTGAAAATCTGGCAGGAAAACTCAGTTCCTTGCAGAGGGTTCTAAAAGTGCACATTCTGTTTATCTAGAAAACTGCCTAGACCAGAGATAGACAATGTTTTGGGGGACAGTGTGTGTGTTCAAGTGCTCCAGGTTACTATTGAGGCTGCACACTGCAGAGAAAGTCCCAGAGTGACAGGTACATTGTCTTCCCTACCATCACTTGTTTTCCTATCAAGAGCCTGATAAGCTTTGGGTGGAACCCAGAGTTCTCTTGAGCATGGTTTGAAAAATATTTGGCTTTTAAAAAATGGATATTAATTTCCTTGATATTAGGCACCAAATTCTTGGCACCGGGTGCTGGAGGCACTACGTAATACCAAAATTCTGTGCTTAAACATCTGACTGTAGAAAACGCACAAACCTCCCTTAGCTGTTAAGAACTAAATTTATACAAGTCCATGATGGCCCTCAGTGAATAATATTGTTTCAAGAATGGAAAGGACAAGGTGAGCCAATATTTCTCCCTTAATATAAAACATTTTTTTTAAAATATGGATTTCAAAGCAAACTGGGTTCACCAGAGAATCTGTTACCTTTCTGGAACAGTTCAATTAATTGGGATTCACAAGATAATATGATGGGGCAAAGGAGCCTCTGCTGGTTCTTTCTGCATTACAAAACCCTTTAAAATTATTTTGTCACAATCAATCAGGCCAGGTTTGTGGTTTAACTCCAACAGATTCTCTTCCCAACTCATCTGTCACTACCTTTAAGGCAATGACAGATGAAAACAATGCAGTGGGGAGAATTTATCCTTCAGCATTCTGGCGTTTAATTGGAAAGAACAAAAAAAAATGTTTTCTGTAACACAAAAAGGTTAAGTGCTTTCTTTGATTTTGGCTGCTGTTTGAGCTTCCCAGATGTTAGATGTTGTAGGGAAGCCACAAAAGCTCTTCTCTTTCTCTCACACAGAAGAATACTGACAAAAATCAACAGGATTTGTATGGGGATGTACCTCAATCAAGAAGCTCTGCATCAGGCAAAACCCACAAAAATGCATTAGGATTGGCATCTGGAGCTGAACATCTATAAAGCTGGGTGTCAGCTACCTTTGAAGAAGTCTTGGAAGTTTCAATAGGTACAAAATAAGGCGGCCAAGACTGGAGTCAGCTGTTCAGAACATGTAACTCCAGTGCTGCATCATCTCCACTGGTTACCTATTTGCTTCTGGTCCCAATTTGAAGTGCTGGCTATTTATTACTCAAAAACCTTTCACAGTCTGGGACTCTTATACCTACCAAATAGCATCCTTTGGTATACTCCCACATTCCAGCAAAACTCCTTTGCCTGGAACAGACCGTATAGAAAAGTCCGGCCAACAAGGTTTTTCCTGTGCTAGGCCCACCTCTCTGGATGCTTTCACTTGCTGCATTTAGGGAGGTATGTAAGATTATTTTATTTCTGAGGGTACTGGATGGAAGGTAAACTGCATTAGCAGATTTGTGTGCACTTCACCTTATGTGTGTGTGCGCCCTGTTTTTTCATACTGAGGGGCTGAGATGTCGTTTTGATGTCCTTGCAACCTGTTGTTGCCTTGAGTCTAAAGAGGCAGGATATGAATATTTTAAGTAATCCAGTACCATTTAATGAAGAATAAACTATGCATTTCCTCTTCCAGGCTTAAACTCTCCCTTTTGGCAGAGAACACTCATCCACACTATCCTTCCCCAACACCCTTAAGAGCCCATCGCTGGAGGAAGGACAGCATCAGCCAAATCACTTTCCTTCTCGGCTACTCTTCGTGTTATGCTTTTGTCATAAAATGTCACAGTGTTTTGGATACTACAGTTGATTCACAGAATTAATCTCTTATTTTGCTGAATTTGTATTCTACAAAAATGTTCAGAGTTCCGTTTAGCACCACATTGATTCTGAGAGCCAGCAAAGAGACAGTGACCTGCACAAGGCTATTTATTTATTTAAAACTTTTATATCCCATGCTGTCAGGCAAACTTTTACGAGGCAACCTGCATTTGTTTTCAGAGTAAAGCCAATTCTAAAAACAATAAATATTAAACCAACAAAATAAAAACCAATAACCAACGCTCCCTCTAAGCTGTAGAGTCCTGTGAGCAAAAATTCTACTTTGTGAGCTACCCGCATTAAAGTTGTGAGCAGGTGATTTGGCTATTGCATAAATTAGTTTGCTCTGGAGCCCTCCTTCCTGAGCTAAGAAAAAAATGTGTGAGCCAGAGGCTAAAAAACTGTGAGCTAGCTCACACTAACTCAGCTTAGAGGCAACACTGCCAATAACATAAACCCAAAGTAGAAAGTCACAGAATTTGCACATATCCAAATTGGATGTTTCCCACATCTAAGCCTAATATTCTACCGAGCCACCCTGACAATCTCATTAAATGATTAAAAATTGAACCAGCCGAAAAGGTGAAAACTGAAGCTAACATCCACATACAAATGAACTAAAATTATCAGACGTTCAGAGACACAAATTACAGTAGTGGTCTCTGGGATCATTGACCATAAGGGAAGATGGGACCAACTGGAGTTACTCCTCTGAAATGTAAACATTTAGCAAGTATATTATGGAGGACCTTCTTCAACATTTTCCCCGAACAGTCACAGGGTTGCTAATCCTCCTAGCTGATTTTAGAAAATCTGGAGCCCCCCATAATGGTCAGTGAAATAGATCTAAGATGTATACGCAGCAAAGCAAAGTTTATCTCGTGCAGCCAATATAATAGTTCTAAAAGCTACTACTTTATTATTATAAAGAAAGATACAACAGGAACAACACTGCAAAACCATCAAGCGAAAATAAAGTGATATCCATTAATTATATAGTTCTTTGCTGCAAAAACGTGTTGTTGGGTAGGCTGAGGTAATTAATACAGTTGATGCTTGCATCCTAGTGATTAATTTCACATCCCTTCCACAGCCTAGCTTTCAGATACATTGCTTTATACTTACTTTTGTTTTTTGGGGCTCTTGATCTTGATATTCTCCGGTCTGTTTCTTTTTGTTAATTCTTTGCCATTCTTTAACCATTTGAATTTGAGAGAGGGGTGCTCAGAACTGGCTTCACATCTGAGAACTAGCGTCTGACCCACAGTTGATTCCTGGCTTTTCATTTCCTTCAATTTAGGAGGCACAGCTAAAGAACAAAAAGAATGTGCAGGTGATTAAGCAGTCCTTCAAAAGGGAAAATGCAGCCAAAAAGTGACTCTGATCAGGGCAATCTTGGGAGTTTAGAATTTATGAAGATTATAAATTCCCTATAAAGTCTTTTGCTGTTTGAAAGCATAACGGGGGGGGGGGGGGTAGAAGAACAAGGGATCAAGACAGGAGTCACTAATTCACAGTGGTCATGGATCTATCAAGGGCACACTCACAGAAGCAAAACCCATATAATTTTTTATACCTTTACTTTGATCCATAGACTGAAAGGTGTAATACCAAAGAATGTTGATCCTGTATCTCAATTATTACTCTGAAGAAGATGCTCGTGTGATATTAAAGTATGGCTTCAGAATGGAAAGATGCTAAAAATAACAACCCTGTTTCTTAATCTGTATATTTTCTCATTAGTATTTGTTAATTTTTTTTGCTTCAAGTGCTTAAAAATATAGTTACAGAAGCTTAACATACTAATACGAGGTCTCTGAAGGCAAGTATCATAGTCTTCTCTAGTCTGTGTCTGATGCAAAGGATGCCAACTTAAATTTTCTTTGAACTTTAGCTCTCATTTGTAAAGGCAGCTGTTGCTCACTTCACCAAGAGGCTCACGTAAAAACCTATTAATACTGAGAAGTGCTTAATATCCAACAGGCCTCTTAATACAAACAGGAATGAACAATTTCATTATTATATATTTCTGTATTAATTTAATTCCCTTCATAGCATAAATTACCAATAAATTTACATGCAAACCAATTTGAAGTTGAGGCCCCTTCAAGATGAAGTTTTAGGTGAAGCACATACTTAAAAACAAGAGTGGTTTCACTCTGGAAAAGATGAAAACATTTTAACTATAGATTTTTGTCCCTGTTCGGATAACCTTATTGAGTCCCTGGTTCACGTGTTATTTCATAGTAGATTGTAGATTATATATACAGGCACATTTGCTGCTGATAAACTGTGTTGGTTGATAAAACTGTTCTCTGCACAAAAGACTCAAACTTTTATTGGCAGGGATTGACCAAAGAACTACTGTACTTGGAGATAGGTTTCTGCTCTCTGCAACGAAAATACTGACAGAGATAATGTCCCGTGCATAATTTACTCAGATTCTAACCCTAAAACTATTAAAAATACCTTCACTATTTTGCATGCTACTTTAACAAGCCACTAGGGTTGCCAAGTGGAACTTACCTTGGTGGCGGAGGACTCCTGGGTGGATCCCGGAGCGCGCGCACACACACACACGTCACCAGGAAGTGACGTTATGATGCTTGGGCATGCTGGGGGCGGGGCCATGGCCATACAAGGGAAAACTCTATGGTATGCCCATGGCCCCGCCCCCAGTGTGCCCAGCGTGCCCGCGTCATTTCCGGGTGACGCGCACGTCAGGGAGGAGTTCCCCCCGGGGCCCGATCCGCCGCCGCAGGGGAACGGGCCTCTGGGGCGGGGTTTTCCCCGCCCCCCAGGGGGACTTGGGATCCCTACAAGCCACCCCTATATATATATACAACTATGATATGTAATTCCATTTCATCGTCTGACAAAGTGTGCGTGCATCGAAAGCTCACACCTTGAATAAAACTTTGTTGGTCTTATTTTTTTAATAACAATTTTATTAATTTTATTAACATTCACAATAATACATATCAGTAACTGTAATGAAGAGTGAAGTCTTAAATTAACAATAACAACCACCACAGTTCCAAATGTCTCAGTCAGTACAACAGAACTAGCATAATAGAGTAATAACAAGAAACAGAGAGCCCATTCATCCCTATAAACTATATATTCATAAATTCATAACTATCATGTGATTTAAATGAATTTCTACCATCTGGGTTACAATCCAGTCTTTCTAATACAGGCCACCATTTGCTAAGGAAATCTTGGTATGCTGCATGAGGGTCGGATTGCTGGATACCTGATGAAATGTTATTGTTGGTCTTAGAGGTGCCATTGGACTCTAACTTTGTTCTATTGCTTCAGACCAACACAGCTGTCCACCTTGATCTACTGTTAAGATATACTAGGCTGAATGAAGTACGTAGAGATTTTACGAAGGTAATTAATTCAACAACAGTGGGGGGGGGGTTTCCTGCTTCTGTATGTCTTGTGGGCCATAATAATGCCTGAGTAGTTTCACTCTGAAAACACATTCACAATGTCTTTTTCAGATTTATTTCTGCTTTTCCAGGGCTAAGCTTAGGCCAAACCAGTTCAGAGGGTTGGCAGCAGAAATAGGCTGTGCACGGTGCTCACTGGCTGGTGGCTTTGACATAATAACACATATTCTCCTTCTTGGAGTACTTCTCCAACTTAAAATGTTAGTGCTTTTAAAAAGATATATGAGCCACTGGCACTTGAACAATATAAACAAGATGGACAACCTGCCTGCAGAATGGCAGGAAAAGGCAAAACCCTACAACGAATCCAGCAGCATTCAAAGGATATACACATTTCTGTCCACTGTAGTGCAAAGACGGTGGAAAGCTGGACTTGGCCTACATCCATTCGTGTTTGGGGGCATAGTTCCTCATGATTTGTTGTATAGGACACATTGGCTTGCCACTTCCCCTCTGGTCAGCAAAAGGAGATGGGGTTTAGGGTTGCCAGATCCAAGCCGGAAAACTCCTGGAGATTTGGGGATGGACCCTGGGGAGGACAGGGACCTCAGTGGGGTACAATGCCATAGCGTCCACCCTCCATCTTCCAAAGCATCCATCTTCTCCAGAGGAACTGATCTCTCTAGTCAGGAGATGAGCTGTAATTCTCGGGGACCCCAGATCCTACCTGGAGGCTGGCATCCCTAACATCCCACGGAAGTAACAAGTTCTCACTTTTTTCTCTCTTCAGAATTGTTTTGCAACCTCCACTAACAGTAGGCTTGTCTTTTTTAGTCTCTTTGGCCCCATGAAGTTTAAAAATCGATTTCTCTGGGTCCAGAATTCCGTATTAATACTTGCTATAAGAAAGTACTTTATATTTTGTGATATAACAAACTTGCTACTTAGCCAACACACAATAGTATATATAAACCTCACTGAAAGCTACTTGAATAGCTCACATTCATTTGTGAAGGGAAAAAACCCTCTACTTCTAAGTTCTGCATTCTAATGCTGCATTCTAGTATTGCATTCTGATAACTGTAACATTCACAAGCTTTTATCTATCAATATAGTATAATTTTAACCAGTGTACATTATTCGCCCTTTCCCTATTTTAGCCTCAGAACATTCCAGTGAGGTAGTGAGGCTGAGCTGGAGTGAATGGATGAAAGTCACCCAGAAGCATTGTGGATTTGAACCCAGTTTTCCTGGATCATAGTCTAGCACTTTAACCACTGCACCACACTGGCTGCTTTCTAAAAATAGTTATTTTCCAGTAATTTTCATTCTAGTTCCACAAATATAAATGCTGAGTTTTATCAGTATTTCTTAAAAGAGCTGAAGCAAAGATTGTTTGCTTTTTAAAACTCTCTCTTCTGCCAATTAATATCGGATGACATGGGTAATATTTTCCAAGGACTAAAATGACAACTGGCCAACACCAGGCATAATGCTGCAAGCAGAAACACTTTCTTCAACTTCTAGAAAAATAGCTGCTGTTAAAGCAACTGTTGTTGACAAACCGATTTGTTTATAATGTTTATACAGTGCTGAGAAAGAATTCCTACAGATTGGAACACCCCTATTGGACCAAATGTCCATCTAGACCCCACTATTCTGATTTCTTCAGTGGCCAACTTAGATACTCTCAGAAGGCCTGCAAGCAGGACCCAGTGGCCAAGTTTCCCCCTGCATTGCCCCACAGCAACTCATATTCAGAGATAGAGTGGCTTTGTCCGATGTTCCATTTGGGTGAATCCAACCACATGTACTGGGAGCGTAACCTACCTCAGATCCTCTCAAAATGTGCAGTTGCTAGTGTGTGTATTTTCCAGCACTGTATTTTCCAGCATGTGAACCCTCGAACATTAGGATTTTGCAAAGCATGCACTGAAGCTGGAAGATACATGTGGGTCCCTATTCAGACAAAATGACAACTATGTGTATTGGGAGGATCGCTGATAGGATGTGCTCCCAGTAGCTGCATTTGGACGTTCCCAAACATAACATCTGAAAAGATCTATTGTTTTCTGAACATGGGATCCGTCAGGGTCTGTTTGTTCCATGACTTTTATGTGAGATTGCACAAAAGCACCCACAAGGAATGGCAGATAGAAAGAAAAAGAAGTTTTTGCCATGAACCTCAAAGCAGCAGTACTCCTATTAAGGTGAACTGGCCTACATACGTATTCTGTGGCCTGAAAGTTCACTGAAATATTACACAGTCTGATGCTTTTAAGATGAAAATCGGCAGACAGAAAGATGTCCAAGTCTACCTTGGAGATTTCTTACTTTCCCCTCAGTTTGATCCTCAGTGACCCTCCTTTAACATGATTAATTTCAAAAAGAACATGAGCAGCCCAGAGTTGCCCAGGAAGGAATAAGAGAGAAATGATCCTGCAGAAATCAGCACAGAGCTTGGCAGACTGTTGTTCTATTCCCTGCTCATCCCGAGTCATTGACTGACCTTGCACTACTTACTTTGCTGCTGTGGTTTGAATACATTGCAAAAATAGGCCAGTCACTTTAAAGGAAGGGTCGTGGAAAGAAATTATGTTACAAATTACATATACAGACAGCAAAAAGCTAAAAACATGTAATGTTGCCAATGTTTTTCCCACTGGCAGAATGTTTATTGCTGAGTAAATGAGTTTCTCAAAATCTAATAGCTGTTTTATTTACTTTTGTTGGATACTTAGGTCCCATGCCATTCAAAAATTGTTTTTCAAATCCCCCTGAGTTTCATAAGGAGTTTGCCATTGGGTGTGATGGGGAAAAGAAGGACGAAAAATGTCTAAAACCTCTTTCAGCTAATTGATCTAGTTTCACATTTTTCAAGATTTTTGTTCATTATTTATTATATATTACG